AGACGGGCAGTTGCCCTGACCCCCGCGCCCGTCCTTAAAACATACTGGGTGCCCAGCGCCCGGTCCACTCTACTCTACTCTACTCCCACAATGAGCGGCGCATATCACGCAGGTATTGTGTCTGCAAACGTCAAAGGTGTGGTGACTCATTCAACTGTGCGACAGCCAGAGGCGCACGTCTACAACATGGGTATCACACACCGCGGAATGCTCCTTGCCGTCAAACCATACACATTCCTTGCAGTGCTGCCTGGCTGTGAAGCGAATTTGCACAAGGTGTATCATTGCAGCAGGGGTTGCACGCCTCCATATTAGAGTGCCGGTGAGTATCGCCACTACCCTCCCACACCGAGCCTCACAACCCAGCTTGTGGCGATTGTTGGTGACCTGATGGCTCACACATTCGGTTGGGCAGCCCGCCTTGCGCGTACATGCCTGCACCAAAAACCCCGGATGGAACTTCCTCGGCTGGCCAGCAGACTGTGCGAAATCGTTGTGCTGCCCATGAAATCAGGTATCGGCGTGCCAGAGAGCCCTCGATTGTTGCTCAGACCACTGAACCCTAGCGCGGACATATATAATCATCCTTCATGATGGACGCCCCACCGGTGTTGATAAGGAGTGACTTACAACCGCTGGATCAGGCCTGGTGTAAAAATCCCTCGGGAGAGCTTTTGGGAGGATGAGGCAGCAGTCTGGCCCATTGAGCACAATCAAAGGTGCCACTCATCACAAGGCGGCTGATCCAACGCAAGCCTTGCCCGTCCGAGAAAATGGTCAAACCTCTGCAAAAATGAAAGAGCCTGTCAAAGGGAGCCTGTCAAGTCAAAAGTACAGGTGCACTGCCAAATGTACATACAGCTGCAGGGGCCACAAGGCCGAGCGAGACGCCGGCCGTGGGCCAATCTCTCGTCACGGCAGCGGGGCTGCGCAGGCGGAGATGTGCGCCTTGAGCGCGGGCATGTTGGTCGCGGCCGCGCCGCAGCGGTTGCAGCGCAGCGGGCCCTTCAGCAGCGCCTCGGCCGCTTCCGCGTCCACCGCTACGCGGCCGTCGCCCTCCAGCTGGCGCATGGCCGCGTCAATAGGCAGGAAGAAGGGGGTGCAGAAGGAGTTCCAGTGCTTCTGCAGGCAGGGTTGGGCGGTGTTTGCAGTGGGATGAGTGTTGGATGGTTGTCATCCAACATGAGCCAGGCGTCGATAGGAGAGGAGTGAAAGTGGTTGACAGCAAGTAGCAACAACTGCAGCCGGGCTGCAAGGCAGGTTAGACCGCGGGTGACATCAATCGGACACACCGTCAGGACGCAGGCGCTGCGTTTGGGCCACAAGCGGCATGTCTGTGCCCCTGCCCCCCTCCCCTCTGGGCCTGACGCAGGCCTAGACCGGGTCCCCGGGCCGTCCGACCCCCAATCCAAGCTGGTGCAAAATCCGAGCGCTCGCACGCAATAGGCAAAGCGGCGCGGGCCTTTCTCCGCCAGGGCGCCTCGTCAGCGTTACGGCAGAGCGGCATGCATCTCAGTGCACCCCGATTGCCTTACCTTATTCTTGAGGGCCGGTGAGTCCATGTCTGTGCTGATGACGTGCAGGTGCAGTCGCAGAAGTGAAGGCACGCTGTGGAAGCCCAGCGCCCAGCCGCTGGGGATGGGGGCCGGCTCGGTCTCTGCTCCCGCAGCCTCCTGGGCCTGCTCGCGCCGCTGCTCATGTCCCTGCTGCTCCTGTTCATGTTCCTGCTGCTGCTCCTGCTGCTGCTGCTGCTGCTCCTGCTGCTGCTGCTGGTCCTGCCGCCGTTGCTGCTCCCGCCGCACCAGGTCCAGCGCCAGCGCCCGCATGCGCCCCAGCAGCGGGAGGTGGCGGGGCGCCAGGTGCGACACGCTGTCTAGATCCTCCTCCCTGGAGATGACCAGCAGGTGAGATCTGCTTGGGGTTTTGTTTGGGGGCGCAGGGGTGGGGCCGGGGTCAAGTGAGCAGAGTAGGAAGGTTGGGGTGCGAGGGCCTCAGTGAAGGGATTTCTGGGTCGCGAGGACACAGGGATGAGCAGCCTGGTTGAAGCGGACCAAGGACTGGGAATGGGCGCGTATGCGTTTGGAAATATTCAGACAAAGCACACCTTTGGTGGTGGCGGCCTCGCTGTGCTGGGTGCTGGGTGCGTCAGCGCCTGATATCGACGTCATGCCGCAGCACAGGCGTTGGGTGCCATGGGAAGGCGACACGCTCGCACACATTTACATGGAAGTAACAGCGCCGTGACACATCCAAAACCAAAAGAGTCCATTGCGTAAAATCTGGGTGAATCGTTCAACCTCTCCACCCACCTGGCCTTGGGGTACTTGTCTCTGATCGCCACCAGATCGTCATCCACATGAAGGATGACCTGATCGCCGCGGTGCCTGTCCGAGGATAGTGAGGTCGCATCGTGGTGGCGACGCACATGTCAAGCAGCAGAGGGGAGGGCGAGGCGAGCGGGGCGGGCAAGGGAGGAGCGACAAGCGGGTTGTCGATCCGGGCCACGCGGGGCGGCCGGGCGAAGGCGGTGCACCTGGCAACGGCAGGCCACACACACTTGGGGTGTCCCTGTGGCTGTGGCGCACATCAGATTAAAACCAGGGCTCCACCCCTGACACACCTGTCCGGGTGGCGGGCAACACTCTCCAAAACGCGCAGGCAGCCCGGCCCGCCCCCGCCACCCTT